TTAAGGTTAAGATACCATTCCCAAATCTACCCAAGTTCAAACTCACGGCTTTAGGATTACGTGGCCGCAGCATTTTTTCTGAACAGGAAAAATGCTTTGAAATGTAGTCCACTTCAAGCTGCATGGATTAAACCGTTAAATGAGCTATGTAGAGAAATTTAATTAGTAAAAAAGTGATTCCTGTGTTTTTATATATATATTTTATCTGTGTTACATTAAACCTTTAAACGGTTCTTAAAAAATTGTAAAGTATTTCCTTCAGTGTTAGATAAAGAGATTCATAGTCGACTAGATTATTCTGCCAAATATGCAAGTAAACCAGCAATTCAACTGGCCAAAATAACAAAAACCAAAACATGTTTTGCTGAATGCATCTACTTATTAGGACAACAGAAAATGTATATTCATTGTCCAAAATAGTGTCCACTTTCAAGCTTTCGAGCGCAAGAACAAGAACCATAGAAAAGTATCATTGAAGCTACTTGTTTCCTCTAAACATGTGATCTATGTTCAAAGTTCAGATCCTGAGGAGGGAAAGGGAGGAACGACTAGCTGCTGGAAAGGAAAACATAAAAAGTCATGAGGGAGTATCTGAGCATGTCCTCCAAAAGGGGTATTTTATTTTGCTTAACTTGTGCTTCATAGCAAGAATTTCACATTACTGAGCTGTGATTTGGTAAGACGAGGTCAAAAAACCTTGTACCGAGTTGTTTCAACACATGCAGTTTGGAGCTTGGGCGCCTTTGGCTGTACAAAACATTCAGAATCTTCATCAGCAAAACATTCAGAAAGCTTTAGGCTGAACTTACCAAACAACACAAACCACTGTCTTTAACTGGGTTAGTCTTTAAATACTACCATAATTTACCTTAGTGCTAGGGATTATATAAGTAATAATGATTAAAATGTTTGGTACTGTAAATTTTCCTGATGGAATCACGTGTAGTATTACAACTTTTCAGGCAGGTGTACTTACTGGATTATCCCGGAACAACAGAGTATTAGCTTTAATTTAATTCATTTGATTGATAATCTCAATATTAGGAGTTTATATTGGCGTATTGTGATGCTTGTTTGGTATATCTGGCAGTTATTAGCTGTTTGTAAGCTCTATCTATTTAAGGCTGACTATTTTTGTCCTTCTACGACTGATGGGAGAGAATTGCAGACACCAACTATTATTTGCAGAGAACACATACACAAAGTGACTTTTATATCTGGAAAGGTTATGTCTTTACTACAAAATAATTTATTTTCTGTTAATAAATTGGTGAAATATTGAGTATTTAAGCTTTAAATATACTGACCCTTGTAAATGGTAAATGAACTGACTTATATTGCACCTTTCTATCTTATGAAGACACTCAAAGCTCTTAACAACAATCTGTGTCCTCATTTACCCATTCATACAGCTCTATACTAGATCTATACAGACTAATCAGTGGTTTATTACATTCATACACCGATGGGACACACATCAGAGGCAATGAGGGGTTCAGTCAGTGTCTTGCCCAGGGACACTATAGCGTGTGACTGCTGGTGGAATTGAACCCCCAACTCTCTCATTGGAGGACGACTGCTTTAACCACTCAGCCACAGCTGCTTCAACAACATTACCACATGGGTTAGCCTATCTATGCAAAAATCTGATTAAAAATGTATACAATACTTATTCAGGGGGCGGCTGTGGCTGAGTGGTTAGAGCAGTCATCATCCAATGAGAGAGTTGGGGGTTCGAGTCCACCAGCAGTCACATGCTGAAGTGTCCCTGGGCAAGACACTGAGCCCCTCATTGCCTCGGATGTGTGTCCTATCGGTGTATGAATGTGATCTAAAGCTCCGATTAGTCGTTGTACAGATCTAGTAGAGTGCTGTATGAATGGGTAAATGAGGACACAGATTGTGCTGTATAGAGCTTTGAGTATATTGATAAGATAGAAAGGTTCCATTTAAGTAAATGTACTGTACTTATATAGCATATTTCTATCTTATGAAGACACTCAAAGCTCTTTACAACAAAATCTGTGTCCTCATTTACCCATTCATACAGCACTCTACTAGATCTATACGACGACTAATTGAACAAATCATTCTAAAGAGACTAATCAGAGCTTTATCACATTCATTCACCGATGGGATCACGCATAAACGAGGGGTTCATTGTCTTGCACAGGGACACTTCGGCATGTGACTGCTGGTGGATTCAAACCCACAACTCTTGCATTGGAGGACGACTGCTTTAACCATTCAGCTACAGCCACCCAGTCCAAGTACTATCCATTTACCATTTATTCCAAGTAAAAATACAGTATATTTTGAAATAATAGTAATGCGGTGCCCCACGCTACAGAGTGACAGCCCGTGACGACCCTCTGAATTACAAAGACAATTAATGAGTAATTGTCATTTTGTATTTAAGTGGGCATAAATAATTCACTTTAAAAACCAGACATGTAAAAATATAACATGTTACTACTAATAAAGAAAGAGTCCATGGACCTTCTAAGTTTTTCTGGGAAAAAAAATCTTGAACTGGCTGAAATGTGTTGTATTGATGGATGAAAATGAAACCAAGGGATGCTGTACATGACATCCAGCATCCTGGTGATGTTACGTTCATCTTATTTGGCTCAACATTAATGACTGCAGCTGACCTGATGTGCATTTTTTTCCTGAGGGACTATGAACACATCAACGCTCCAAGACTTTAACCTTGAGCAATAACTGTGGGATTTCCTCATTTGTAAATGTATAAACACACACTACCCAACAGCTAATTCTTTTAATAAACCATTCCTGCCCAAGTTCCTTTTCCTGCCCTGGCAACATATTGTCCTGGATTTCCTATTTGCATTCTCATCCCTCCCAGTATTCCCGGTGATACTTTATGTGCAACCTATTTAAAAAATTTTAGTCAGACAACTAGCTTCCTTCCATTTTACCAACACTTTTAGTTTCCTGTCATATTCCCAATCTTATTGCTATTTTTGTGGCCTCACGTTCTATTTTTTGTTTAGTAATATGAATATAAAATGAGTCAGGATGATTACGAATTCTTAATGTCATTGTTTGCCACAATAATTTGGAATAATAGCAGCTCCATTTTGAGGAAGTACTAAACTAAAAAGAAATACATAACGAGAAACAAGGTAGTGACTTAATCAAATCTAATATTTAATGTTCTTGCATTTCTTCTTTTGGGGAAACTTCATTCTTGAGTAAAGTATTCACATGAGTGGACTGACCTTTTTACAGACTTGATGTCTCTTTAAAACCTATTTTAGCCTAAGCACAGGGCAGATTTAATAAGAACTCACAGTGAATACTAATAAAAAGTCTCTCTCTTTATCAGGTTTTTGAGATAAAGCAAAGAACATCACACAAAAAAAATCAGCTTCAAATTATCTGTACACTAGAATTTTTCAGGGTTTTGTTGAAGCGTTTTAATGAGAACGTACTTTCCTCTGTAATCAGTGAAAATGATGTTTGATTCTCCTGCATCAGAAAGTTCACACACTTAATTTTCCACCTGAATGTTTAGCAATTTGACAGCCAGTATTAGAAAGAATAAATAACCTTGTTAATTTTGTATGCTAAACCTTTTCTGAATACAATCCAATCTGTGATTTAACCACATCAGTCTCATTTCTGAGCAGAGCACCAAGACCCACGGACTATTCAAGTTTATTCAATTCAATTCAGTTTATTTCTATAGCGCCAAGTCAAACAGAAGTCATCTCAGGACACTGAACAGAAATATTCATATACAATAAGTAAGTTAATAACATTATTGATGAGGAGCAGACTGCTTTGAATTTAACTCCATCACAGACTCTCATCTTGAGCAAGAATGAAGGAGACAGTGGAAAGAAAAAACTCCCTGAGGAAGAAACCTTTAGCAGAACCAGACTCAGGACAAGCAGCCTTCTGCTTGAACCGGCTGGGTTTGAGAGGAACAGATACACAATGGCAGGTCGAGAATCACGTTAAGATAAAAATAGTATCAAATGAAAACTATTTAATTTAAACAATTCATTTTAAGAAATTAGGTCAGTTTGTCCTCCAGTAGTCCAAGCCTATAGCAGCATAACAAGCCAACCCTAACTATAGGATTTATCAAAAAGGAAATTCTTAAGCCCAGTCTTAAAACTGGACAATGTGTCAGTCGCATGGACAGAAACTGGAAGTTGGTTCCACAAGAGAGGAGCCTGATAACTGAAAGATCTTCCTCTCATTCTGCTTCTGGAAACTCTAGCAACCACAAGTAAACCTGCAGTCTGACAGCAAAGTGCTCCGTTAGTAAAATATGGTACAACAAGATCTTTAATATAATCTGTATACTCTGTAAAATAAATGTATCTATGTTGGTCTTATAAATAACAGCACAGCAACTATTTGCATTGCATCATGTATGTTGTCCTGGCCTATGGATTCACACATCATCCCTCACACACTGATGTGACATGAATCCCTGCCTTCTCTTCATGTGACACTAACACAGCACGTCATCAAACATACCCGACTGATTTAATTTAAATTTGTGAATTCCTGATGAAGATGTTCTGCATGTAGGGAAGAGGATAGGTTTTGGGTTTGAAACCTCTTCTCTAAACCACTTATTTGAACACATGTACAGAAACAACAGCATTAAAATGGTGAAGTGAAAGCACACTTTGAAGAAGCACCAAACATAAACTTACTCATTATCAGCTGATTTTACGGGTTCTGTGTATTGTTGTATGAGTGAGTGCACAGCCCTTTGGCCAGCAGTGTTGTTTTAAAAGTGCGTTTTAAATAAAGTTGTATTGTATAAACATGGAGCAGATAGCATTAACCTCTCACCTACTTTACTAAACAACCAAAACACTTGACTCTCTTTGTGTTGTCTTATTGGGCAGAATAACGTTACTGTGTTGAAAGACATAAAGAAATAATGTACATAACCAGAAAAGAACACTTCTGTCTCAAGTTAGCTTAAACATGTCTGCAGCACCGCGTACCTTGCTGAGGGCCTCCTTTAGCGCAAAGTGCTCTTGTGTGTAGATTAAATGGTCACTTGTGGAGTCTGAGGACTTGGACGTGACGGGTTTAGAGGACACATTTTCAGACAGCGGCCGGACGCCCACAGACGAGGCGAATTTGAACAAACTACGGCTGCTTAACAGCACGTTTAAACGCAGAGCTCCTAAACGCGTCGCCATGACAGACAACAGCGCGTTTGCGCATGCGCGCGCTGTGTCTTCCGCTCAGGGACAAAGTGGGTTTTATTTAATTAATGAATTAAGTTATTATTTATAGGCCTTCTGTGTGCGTCTATCTGTTACCAAAATATCTCATTAACTACTGGACGAATTTTAATATAATGTGTAAGGAGTAGTCATTTGATGCAGTTAACTCACTTCATGGCTGTCACAGCCAAAGCTCACATACAGATGTATTAATCAACTGTACAGATATTGACCTTAGTTCTGGTGTGGTAGTAGCTGATACTGATCCCCAACACACATTCCGAGTGCTAAAAATTTACACTAGAGCTTTGTTTTAAATTTTGCCATTAGCTATTTGAAGTCAATGTCGTGTGTCTGTTAGCAAAATAACTCGTAAAACACTTGATAGACTTTAACATAACTTTCAGGATGTAATTACCGGATATACATTTACAACTTTTCAACTTGTGGGGCTGACCTAATGTAAGATGGCCACTACAGTGAATTGAACTTAAAAAAGCACATAATTATCTATCATTCTGTCAATTTTACAGATACTGAGGTGAAGCTTGGTGTGCTTGTAACTGAGAGTCACTCAAATCACAGACTCTGCGTGGGAGTTGTGCTTATTGTGTTTGATTGTGTGCTTTGTTTTTTACAAGGTTGTGGACCAAAACAGCCAAACTGTCATTGCTCGTAATAAAATGGTCTTAGAGTTCTTCTGGGATAAAGTATTAACCTTCATAAGAAATCAATTAATTTTTTAATTCTTTTATTTATGTATTAAACGAGTTCGACCGCGTCCTTTGGGGAACCCTGTGGGGGGTACTCTGGGAGTATGGGGTACCGGGCCCTTTGATACAGACTGTTAGGTCCCTGTATGACCGGTGTCAGAGCCTGGTCCGCACTGCCGGCAGTAAGTCGGGCTCATTCCAGGTGAGAGTTGGACTCCGTCAAAGTTGCCCTTTGTCACCGATTCTGTTCATAACTTTTATGGACAGAATTTCTAGGCGCAGCCAAGGTGTTGAGGGGATCCGTTTTGGTGGCCTTAGGATTATATCTTTGTTTTTTACAGATGATGTGGTCCTATTGGCTTGATCAGGTCGTGATCTACAGCTTTCACTGGAGCGGTTCGCAGCCGAGTGTGATGCAGCCAGGATGAGGATCAGTTCCTCCAAATCCAAGGCCATGGTCTTGAGCCGGAAAAGGGTAGAGCGCCCTCTCCAGGTCAGGGAGGAGGTCCTGCCCCAAGAGGAGGAGTTCAAGTATCTTGGGGTCTTGTTCATGAATGAGGGACAAATGGAGCGAGAGATCGATAGGCGGATAGGTGCAGCGTCTGCAGTGAAGCGGGCGCTGCACAGGTCTGTCATGGTGAAGAGAGAGCTGAGTCAAAAGGCGAAGCTCTCAATTTACTGGTCGATTTATGTTCATACCCTCATCTATGGTCATGAGCTCTGGGTTGTGACCGAAAGAACGAGATCTCGAATACAAGCGGCCGAAATGAGTTTTCTCTGCAGGGTGTCTGGGCTCTCCTTTAGAGATAGGGTGAGAAGCTCGGTCATCCAGGAGGGACACAGAGTAGAGCCGCTGCTTCTCCACGTCGAGAGGAGCCAGTTGAGGTGGCTTGGGCATCTGTTTAGGATGCCTCCTGGACGCCTCCCTGGTGAGGTGTTCCGGACACGTCCCACCGGAAGGAGGCCCAGAGGAAGACCCAGGACACGCTGGAGGGACTATGTTTCTCGGCTGGCCTGGGAACGCCTCGGGATTCCCCCTGAATAGCTGGCCCAAGTGGCTGGGGAGAGGGAAGTCTGGGCCTCCCTACTTAGGCTGCTACCCCCGAGACCCGACCCCGGATAAATGGAAGAAAATGGATGGATGGATTTTAAATGTTGTTCTGACGCCTGTTTTCTCAGGCTTTAATGATAAAACTTGTCACTAGTCTAAATATATATTTTTTTACAAATTTTCACCCTGTTTTAGCTCCATGAATTTCCTAAATTCATATTCTGCAAGAAAATATATTTGTTGAACGTTTTATTTTCACATCTGTAATTTACTCGTTTCTGTCTAATACTTTTCCCAATCGTATAATCCTTGAAACAAATAATTTGCTGATGATAAACACAAATAATCCAGATCTACAAAGAAAAGACAATTCAAAGTTGTGCACCCAATAGTCTTTCTCAAAGTATAACACTTCCTGTGATGTATGCTACAAAACAGTGAAAAAGTTTGGGAAACTTTGGAAATTGTGTTAAAAAGATACATCTGTTCCTGTGACTTTTCTAACAGGTCCCATGGAATGATGGAGACATGCTTTAGTGTATGAAACAACCCGCTGACTCAGGTTATAACACCACATGACAGAGAAGCATAACTCTTGCCAAATGAAACATTTTACTGCATCATTTCAAATAATAAATAATAAGAATACAAATCTGGCTGGAAGATGTGGATTTATTTACACAGGAGCTTGTGCCGTGTTACACAATCTTTCTTTCTTGTGGTCTTCTAGTCTTCTCAGTCTGTAAATTCATTTTGCGAGGGGAGGGGGAGAATGTCTTTGGGTCTAATCTGTGGCACGAAAAGCTCCTCAGGTCCATTTTAGCAGATGACACAGCCGCCTTTCTCCTTGAAAGGGTTCTTCTCCTCTGAAATGCCTTTGACGAGGGTGTCCTCCTCCACTCGGTCCTGGATGTATTCCTTGATTTCCTCACAGCATTTAGATGTCTAAAATGATCAGGCAAGAGATGTCAAAACACATCTACAAATTCTTACATTTTTTAGACTTTGTGCAACAAGATTTAAAAGGATGACTGTATTTTTCAAATTAAAAACAGAAAATGTTTCTTGTCTCAGTGAACAGAACTTACCAACCACCTTTCAAGCTTGACTTCGACTTTGAGTTGATTCACTTCCATCAAAGCCTTGTCCTTGTCTGTCAGATCCTCCACGTTTATCACAGGCATTTTCTGTAGAAACAGTCCACGTTTTTTGTGTTCTCACGTCAACACGACAAATAGATGACCTTGAAATATATAAAAAAACAATTTAGTCACTCTTAAATGAGAGTATAGGCATGTACTTACCAATGCTCACAGGTAGCAGTCCTTCCCTACCAAAGCCCTGCTGAAGAATCCCTCTCCTCTCTCTCAATCTGGGTTATAAAGTAATCTGCACCAACAATTCTAATCTGCTAATCTGATTTAATGAAGGCCCCGTTGAAAGATAAAGCAAGTAGCTAAAGTTTGCCATATAAAGAGGATGTGAATCATATCTGTAACGATAGATTTAATAAAATAAAATAAATGTATTTATTGTATTTTACAGAACAATTCAATATTTTATCCATCTGCTTCCTTTAGATACAAAGGTCAAAGGGCTGCACTTTGTGTATCGGATCATTATGATAAGACGGTTAATCCGTATTTAGCCTCTACCTGTCAAGTTGGAGACACGTCATTGGCCTAAACACGAGTGCATGACAGTTTTTCATTATTGTCCAGGAGCTTAGAACAAACAAGTAAAAGTAAAGATCATGTAAAAGTAAAGAAGATTATAATAATGTTGGAGGTCTACACAGGAGGAGCCTTCAGATCTTTTGAAGTGTGGTTCTGTGGAAAGATTATGAACAAGTATTACTTTATCTGGTGTAGATAGCTCCTTGAACAGACTCATTTAGGAGAACGTAACTTTAATCCTGACTTGACTGATGAGGTCATGTTTAGCACAACCAGCACCAAGACCACAGTGGACTGATGCAGTTCTGAAACAACTCTAGTCCCAAAGATTTCAGAGCAATTCATCCATCCATCCATACATCCATCCATCCATCCATCCATACATCCATACATGATACATCCATCCTCCATCCATCCATGCATTCATCTATCCATCTATCATTCATCTGTTATCTTTACCTGCTTTTTCCTTTTTGGGTCATGGGGGTCACTGGTGCCCATATCCAGCAGTCACTATGTGAGAGACAGGGGACACCTGGACAGTCCAAGTCCATCACAGGGACACTTAGAGACAAACAACCGTTCACACTCATTCACTCCCATTAGTTACCAGTCAGTCTAACATGCATGTTTTGGGTCTGTGGGAGGAAACCGGAGTACCCAGAGAAAACTCATGCAGCACGGAGAGAACTTAACTCCACTCAGAAAGGCCCCCGGCTGGGATTTTATCCTGCGACCTTCTTGCTGAGAGGTGGCAGCTCTGCGCCACCGTGCTGCCTATAAATAACCATATGATGCTAAATAGTCAACAGTGTGATGACTTATAAAATAACATTTGCTTAAACTCATATAGAAGTTTTGAAATTGTTGTTGTCACTTCTCCAATCAGAAGAACATTTTTTACACTTTATGTAAACCTGCTGCTTGTCATGTGGATGTGAAAAAAAAAGTTATATACCAAAATGTGTGGCCACATCAGGAATAGTGTGCTATGATTTATAGCAAAACACTGTATAATGTAGATACAATTCACAAAGAACTGTGAGTTCTCTCCTGCTCGTGGTTCAACAATATTTAGGATTTGAATTAGAGTTTTTTGACAGCAGCTGCAGTTTTGAGCCTTATCTGCATTGTTTCTGTCTGCCTCTCCAAACCCTTCTGCTGCCCTTGGCTCATTTTGTCCAAGGACAACAGAAGGGTTAAGCTTGATTCATTACGAACACCCCCCCCCCCCCCCCCCCAAAAAAAAACCTTCTCTCGTTGACAAAGTTGCATGAAGAAAAGCATGCTATATTGGTCCCCTGTGAGCTCTGAGAGCCCGATTTCGAAACAATATCCAGTCAAAACTTTTTCTTTCAGAAGTGTGCATCAACTAATGTGTGATTATTAAGAAGTTTGTTGTGGGCATTTGTCTGAACTACCATATTTTTCGTTGTATAATTGCATAAATTAGCGTGCCCTGCAACTTATACAGCGAAGCGACATATTTATGTTTTTTCTCCATATTCAAGGATTCCAGGTTCTTTATTTGTCATTTGCACCCCATGTGGTACATGTGGTAGAATGAAATTATGAACACAGGGTCCCAGTTACATCTAACAATAAAATGTAAAAGAAAAACAGTAATAAGATATAAGATATGAATTAAGAAAAACATTAACTAAATATACACTAAGCACTAATAGCATAATAACATTACGTTGAACAGCAGCACGAACATGAGTCTGTGTGAGCAGATGAGCACGCATGAACTCAGCAACATGAAACAGATCAGCAGCAACATGAAATAGATCAGCAGCAACATGATGTGATTCTTCACAGTGATTATCCTGGTTAGAGATTCATGAGTCTAACAGCCTCAGGGTAGAAGCTGTTCCTCAGTCTAGTGGTTCTACACTTAATGCTCCTCAACCTCCTTCCTGAGGAGAGCGGGGCAAAAAGTGTGTGTGCTGGGTGAGTGGTGTCCTTCATGATGCAGGTGGCCCTCTTCCTGCATCTGGAGGTGTAAATGTCTGTGATGGTGGGGAGACTGACTCCAACATCTTCTGTGCAGCCTTCACCACTCTCTGCAAAGCTTTTCTTTCTGCAGCTGTGCAGCCTCCATGCCACACGTTGATGCTCGAGCACAGGATGCTCTCCACTGCACACCTGTTGAAGGAGGTGAGGACTGAGCTTCCCAGACCAGCTCGTCTCAGTCGCCTGAGGAAGTAGAGTCTCTGATGATCTTTCTTGATCAGGCTGGTGGTGTTGTTGCTCCAGCTGAGGTTGTCATTCATGTTTACACCCAAGTACTTGTAGCTGGAGACCACTTCCATTGCAGATCCTCTTATTTTCCGGGGTGGGGTGTAAGTAGGTGTGTTCTTTCCTTCTGAAGTCCACGATCATCTCTTTTGTCTTCTTCACATTGATGTGAAGGTTGTTCTCTTTGCACCAGCTTTCCAGGTGTTCCACCTCCTGCCTGTAGCTGGACTCATCATTGTTTGTGATGCATCCCACCACCACTGTATCATCTGCAAACTTTACAACGTGACAGCCTGGATGGGTAGCTGCACAATCATATGTGAGCAGAGTGAATAGGAGAGGGCTCAGCACACATCCCTGAGGAGAGCCAGTGCTGAGGGTTAAGGTGGAGGAGGAAACGTTGTGGATCCTCACAGACTGAGGTTTCTTTGTTAAGAGTGGAGGGGCTTAGTCCTAATGTGAATAGTTTGTCCATCAGGGTTTGGGGGATCATGGTGTTGAAGGCAGATGTGAAGTCCACAAAGAGCATATGGACGTAGGAGTCCTTCTGCTCCAGGTGGTTGAGAGCAGTGTGGACCACAGAGGAGATGGTCTTCTGTTGATCGATTCTCACGGTGTGCGTACTGATGAGGGTCCTAGTTGATGTTGATGGATTATTTGCTGTAATAACCTGGATTATCATGGACTTTGTTGTTTTCAACCAGTTTGACAAGACTGTCAACAAGGAAGAGGGCCGGCAATGGAGGAGGGGGCGTATCAAAGAGACCATCTTATCACAAGCAGAACTGGTTTGTTCCACTTTGGAGTTCCACTTTGGAGTAAGCTGTTGGGGGAAGAATGATGATGATAATTTTTTATTTCAGACAAACATTTCACCAACAAAACATAATAATTAAGACTTAAATTTTTCTAAGTGTAAATACAATATCTTATTATCAAATATACATACTCAATTTTTATATACTCAAATATATGTAAATACTCCACTTTTTTGGTGACTGAGTCTGAAAAGGAGTATGATGAAGTTTAACTTATATAATCATACCCCTTTTCCAGGGGCAGCACGGTGGCGCAACTGGTAGAGCTGCTGCCTCTCAGCAAACAGGTCCCTGGTTCAAACCCTGGTCCAGGGGCCTTCTGGGTGGAGTTTGCATGTTCTCTCCGTGCATGCGTGGGTTTTCTCCGGGTACTCCTGTTTCCTCCCACAGACCAAAAACATGCATGTTAGGCTGATTGGTAACTCTAAATTGTCCCTAGGTGTGAGTGAGAGAGTGAATGGTTGTTTGTCTCGTTTGTCTCTATGTGTCCCTGTGATGGACTTGCGACCTGTCCAGGGTGTACCCCGCCCCTCGCACAGTGATTGCTGGACATGGGCACCAGTGACCCCCGTGACCCAAAATGGAATAAACGGGTAAAGAAAATGGATGGATGGATGGATGGATGGATGGATCTGACGATTTCATTCATTTTGACATTGAAAATAATGAACACTACCATTTTCAGCCACTATAGGGCCCTCGACTAATATTGCAAGCCAAGTGTCTCATTACTAGTTAAAAGCGGCTATTAATGAGACACTTGGCTTGCCATACCAAGCCACCTTCGTCTCGCTCTGGAACTCCTGGAGCAAATGTCAAATCAGCTGCATTTCGCCGCCCAGGAGAACTGCAGCTGATTTGACCATTGCAGTGCATTTATTAAGTAAAAGTTCAACTGAGACACACCTTTACTATAATGTCGAATAAACAAATACATGTTTTAGGTTGTTATCCTGTTAAATTTCGAAGAAATGCACAGCAAGTCCTCCCTCTGCGTGCTCCCGCATTTGCAAATCAGCTTTTGAAATGCAGCTGATTTGACCATCAAAGTGCATTTATTAAGGAAAAGTTAGACTGAGACACACCTTTGCTATAATGTCGAGCAAACAAATAATTGTTGTTTGTGTTAATCTTGTTCAAATATTGTTAAAGTCCTCCCGTGCACACGTCCGTGGCCGCCATTAGGCAGCCAATCGATTTCTGGCACAATACAGGCCCACATTTCCGAGTTGTCAGCGGTGACGCGTAATAGATGCGACTTGTACGGCGAAGCGACGTATTTATATATTTTTTCTCCACTTTATTAGACATTTTTGGACAGATACGACTTATTGAACGATTTCCTGTGGGATCAATAAAATTCTATCTTATACGACAATGCTACGTATACGGCTGCAAGTACGGTACACTGCTCTCATTTTGTTTCGCTGCTCTGCTGAGAAGCAGCTGGCCGAGGCTGTTAGAAAATACAGCCATGTTTACAACTGTCCCAACTAAACTTATAAAGATAGTCAAATGGGGAAGGACGCATGGAAGGAGATAGGACAATTATTATGCATGGAGGAGACAACACAGAGATAGATGGCTCTCCGTGGCTGTGCTGGCCAGGAAGTGTGGAGACACATTCCTCAAATTTGTTCTTTGTACACCGTCAGTCAGAAACAGAGATAGTCTACTCCTGAAAAATTAGAAAATTAGTAAAATTGTCTCAATAGTTTGATAGAGGAAAAGGAAGCAAAAACCTATACAGGGATGGAAAAGTTAGCTTTTTTTATTTTTTATTTTCTTATGTTTTGCTGATATTGGAGGAGCACCCAGAAGTTTCCAAGTTGTTCCTTAACTTTGTACAAAACCACACAGCCAGACATCAGAACCACCTCTTTTATCAAGCCGTAGTGTTTCCCTAAAAATAATAAAATATTTTGTAAAAGTTGGCTGCATTTATTAAAGAAAGCAAATGAGTAGACAGGAAATCATGAGACAGCGTGCACATGAAGGTTCAGTTCCAGTCAGACAGGTGGATGCTGGGAAATCCAGCGTAATATTTCACAGAGTTCCTGCTCCTTAGAGAAAATATTAGTTCTGCACAATATTTGGCAAAAAAAATTGCATCTTTATCCTCATCATCATCATCATCATCATCATCATCATCATCATCAGCTTGTGAAGGCTTTTATTTATTTAAGCAGAAAAAATGTTACTTTTTTATTAATGTAGCTGAATATACACTTAGTCACCCCAATAACACTTCCTATTACCAGTGTAAACCCTGATCTCTCAGATAATCTGGTTCAACTGGGATATGGAAATGAGTCATCCGCCCCCGCCCCCCCTCTCCTCTCCTGGGAAACTCTTCTGTATAAAGCTGGAAGTGGCTGAGGTTTGTCAGCAGGCAAGACACAAACTCACACAATGGAGCTCAGCTTCTTCTTCTTAACTCTGTTTACATTGTTTCACAGCAGATCAGCGCTCGTGCATAAAGGTAACCTCCCTGCTGCATAAAAAGAAACTATAAAGTCTTTAAAATTGTCTGACCTGTTCCTGTTGTGGGGCTTTGTTGAGCAAAAGTCTGTTTTCAGTAACTAATGTTTTCCATCAAGCAGAAGCATGCCTCCTGCAAGTGGACGACGGACCCTGCAGAGCAGATGTGGAGCGCTTTTATTACAACACCATCACCCAGAAGTGCGAGCTCTTCTCTTACGGCGGCTGCCTGGGAAATGCCAACAATTTCAAAAGTTACCCTGAGTGCCAGAAGACGTGTTTCAGAATCCCAAGTAAGATCCTGATCAAATCAAAAATGGGGAAACTGTAAAGTTAAAAGTGATTGTAACTCATAAAGTGTGGTTATTACTCCTTATATCATCTCCAGATAGCATCTCAAGTTATTATTTATGGGATGTTTTTGCTATACTTGTTACAGAGAATTAAAGTTGTAGCCATACATGGATTAAAAATAGTATTAAGGGGTTCACAAGCTTTTCCATGCCATGGCCCCACAAACAGCATTAGCTTATGGCCGAGGCCCCCCCCCCCCATAAACCCACAAACAATGCTACAAAACATGTAAAGAAACATATTTTAGAATGTTTTAACTGTTATTCACTATATTCAGTTAATTATTACAGCTGCTGAGCATAAAAATGTTATTAACCAACATGTTTTAAACACTGAATTATATTCCCACTGTAAAAAACAACTTTTCAACAAACTGTTGACCAGAAGAACAAACAGAAGAAATCTAACCTCTGTCTCAAGCGGTTTATCTGGAAATAACATTTACAGGTTGCCCTAGTGTGCGATTTTTATTATTATTATTACTATTTTTTATATTTATTTATTTATATTTATTTTTATTATTCATTATAATGGGATTAACCTGTCTAAATAAAGGTTGAATGGATATTTTTGAATCTTTTCTCTCCAGCTTTCTGGGGCCCTCCTTGCGCCCCCTGGCGGTCCCCAAGGGGGCCGCTGCCCCCACTTTGAAAAACACTGTTGTAAATGAAAAAACTGTTTGGGTTGTCATTATGCCCTTATTCAATAGGGTTGTTAGCATGTTTATTTATTATTCTTTTTTTTTGTACATTAAATAATAAAAAGTGTTAGACGATCTTTGTCACTATATATAATTTTTTTGGGTCAGAAACTGAAAAGTTTGTGAACCACTGAAAGGATAGCATAAGTTATGTATAAAAATGATAAATTCTTATTATCTCTGTTGTAAAAAGTTTCTTTAATACAGTATATTCAGTTTGGATAGGAGGAGTGCACAGCCATCAGGACTGATGAGCTAATGGCTAGTCCTAATGCAGCTCAGACCAAAGTGGACTGCTGCGTCTTCAAACAGCTTCAAAGTCCAAAGATTTCACTGCAGTTTATGTTTTCACACATATTTATGGTTACTAATTTATACTTTAAATAGCTCCAGCAGCAGCGACATGTAACTTGTAGCATGCAGGGTGTTGGGCAGTTTTCACGATATTTCTGCCAAAATAACCATATTCATAAAAACTGACAAGACTTTGAAGGTTTAGAATAGAATAGAATAGAATAGAATAGAATAGAATAGAATAGAATAGAATAGAATAGAATAGAATAGACTTTATTACCTCCTTGGGGAAATTTGTCACGAAATGTGTTTGCATGAACTGCTTTGAATGTTTTGAAGATTAAAGTGGTTTTAAGACAGCTGACTTTAGATGTGGGTGCATTACTGAACTGAAAAGTTAAAATGGTTCAATATTTCAGTGGTTAGTTGTCAAAGTTGGGATCGGGACACTGTTGTGGGTCACAAAAAACAAAATTGGGGCTCTTGAGACAATCTGTGGAAATCCAATAAACTTTAAAATGAATTCCTCCCAGCATATTTCAATGAAAAATGCTACAAACGATAAAAACAGTAATTAATGAAGTGTGTTTATCTGTTTTGTTATTCTGCCCCTGTTTATTCATTTACTTTACAATTGTTTGCCAAAGTTCATTTGGGAGTAAGAAGTTTAATAGTTTGGTTTTACAGACACTGAACTAAACTTTGGTTTCAGAAGCAGAACCTGATCAGAAAAGTTATTTAAACTTTGGCTCTATGTGTTCATGTTTGTACATTTATTCCACTCTACTCTGCAGAAATTCCCCAAATCTGCAGGTTTCCTAAAGAGGAGGGACACTGCCGTGCTCTGTTGCCCCGCTACTTCTTCAACATGACCACCATGCAGTGTGAGCCCTTTCATTATGGGGGCTGCGGGGGGAACTCCAACCGATTTCAAGACCTCGCCTCTTGCTTGGAGTACTGCAGCCCACAGAAAAGTTGGTAGAAAGCTGAAAGAAACATGCTCCATCTGAAGATTTCATTTAGCTGAACACTGTCATTTTATTATTTTATGCAGCTGTTCCCGTTCTCTGTCTGGACCCTCTGGACAAAGGGAAATGCTCAGCATCCATCACTCGGTATTACTACAACGCAGCCACCAAGATGTGCGAGGAGTTCGTGTACACGGGCTGTGGTGGGAGCAGCAACAACTTTGTGTCGCGGCAGAGCTGCATGGACGTGTGTGTTATAGGTGAGAGTGTGGAAGTCCTCTAGGTTTAAGGCAGCAGCTTCCCACAGCAGGTCTGAATTACCGTATTTTCCGGCGTATAAGTCGCAATTTTTTCATAGATTTGACAGTCCTGTGACTTATATGCCACAGCGAATTATATATGTTTTTTTTTCCATATTCATGACGCAGTTTTTGATTGACGCTTTAAATTTCGAAGAATTGCAACAGCGAGTCCTCCTGTTTGTGCTCGCTTCACTCAGCTGGTGCAGGCAGAGGAACGCTGGAGAGCTAATGGCTTCGGCCACGATGGATGAATGGATGGATGGATGAGTGGATGGATGAATGGTGCTGCACAGCCCAGGCAAAATTAATCTGTTTTGACCATTAAATAAATGCATAATAAATGCGACTTAAATATGTTTTTTTTCCTCTTCATGATGCTTTTCTTTTGACTGATGCGACTTATACTCTGGAGCGACTTATACGCCAGAAAATACGGTAAATCAGAGCAGCGTTGGGAGGTAATCATTTCAGTATCAGACATTTGAAAAGACAAGAAATGCTTCTGACATGATAAACTATCTGCATGACCTCCAAGCTACACCCTGCAGCCAGTTGTTATCACACCAGTCAGACGCCACACAAAATCTATCTCTGAGAAGTTCTCTTTGTTCAGCCCTGAACTGGAAAAGTCACTGGAGTTTTGAGCTAACCAGTTTCTGCACCTTTTCTGTTGTTCCAGGAAGCAAAAAGCGCACAGCTCTGGGGAAAATCCATCAACTGCGACGAAATCGGAACAAACCCATCAAGTTCTTGCAGGCGTAACATCTCATATGAGCAAGTCCTTCATGGAAATTAACGTCTGTTAAAGCCAAAGGTCGACAAAGTCGTCTCTTTTGGACACGACTGCACCATCATGCCTCATTTTCATTTTTATTCGTGATGCTCCTAATTTTGTATTTTGATACTTTATGTATGAAATGTATGTTTTGTGTAAATAAAACTCTATGATAGAGATCTCTTTTATTAACTCAGCTTCATTTAAAAAAAAAATAAAATATGCAGGATTTGTTATACAAAGCCTTCAGTGCAGCTTTTAAAGTAAAGCACTGTGTGGTACCTAAAGAAAACACTGTCATGAATGCAAATAAACACAAAATGTCTTTTTTTATTTATTAAAAGAACAAAACAGGCTCGGCAGTTTTTTTTTCCACTTGCTTTTTGTCACTTTCACTTTATCTGCAGGCTTCTCTTCCCTTCCTTACTAATGCTGCTGTCTCTGTTCTTTATCAGGTAATACTTTATAATGCACTCGAGCCTATCTCTGCTGCCTCCGCACATCACGAGCAATCACAGAGCAGGCCAACGGGGCTGCAGCAGCTTCATTCAAACCTTTCTGCATATTCACACGACATTCATGTGCCTAATGAGCTTCATGAAATTACCAGTAACGTTTTAGCAATTATAATGCAATCACTGAACACATTATCCTGCCCAAAGCTGAATCTATTTATGCAGGTAACAGCGCAGATTTATAACCAAGCACATTTATTTAAGAGTTGTATAGGTTTATATTCCCTTGTTGGTCAGTGTCACTTCAGTGATCTCAAATGGATTCTTCAAAATATCAGAAAACTGTTAAAATGTGAACTTTGCTTGGTTTCATTCCTTAGAATAGAGCTTCCAAAGTGCTTTCAAACAATAAATATTTATGGGAGATATCTAAAACAATGATTCACCCATTGGGCTCGGCTATAAATAGCCAGAAAAGCAGCTGACCAGGCCCAGAAAAATCGGAGCTGTCGTTCTGATGCAGCTTCTCAAAAGCTTTAAACAATCACTGCAGGAACAAATAAGGGAATTAACATCAGCTTTTATTCAGAAATCAATTTGTTTCACTAAACCTGATTTTAAAAAGTGATTAAAAAATGCGTATTACCTGTCACCTTTCAAGCCTGAGTTTTAATTTGAAATCATCTAAAAAGGAAAATTCCAGCTGCTATCTAAATGCACTGTCAGATAAAGCACATGATATGGATGACTCTCAGCTACTACCACAACAAACATGTGCCTCAAGCTCTGTAAAATGAAGTTGTAGCAGTTTTTGCTTGGACATGTACATTAGCATTGACTGAAGTAGGTTGATTCTAACACTTACCCATCTGCAGATGGTATTATTCTGACAAACCCTGCTTTGTTTGCAGAACACCAGGAAGATCATTTTGTTTTTATTTTGTGATACTCTCCCATTAAAAGTGTTTATGCATATATTTTCTTACCACATTTGCAAAATGCTAATATTGTTGATTAATTTTATTAATGATGAAACTCATGTGCTTACCATAATGTTTTTAAAGTGCTGTATTAAACAGATGATGTGGGTAAAAATGAGGTAACTATCTTGTACTCCCCCCCGGCCTCTCAGTGCGCAGGTCCCTGGTTCAAACCCTGGTCCAGGGGCCTTTCTGGGTGGAGTTTGCATGTTCTCTCCGTGCATGCGTGGGTTTTCTCCGGGTACTCCGGTTTCCTCCCACAGACCAAAAACATGCATGTTAGGCTGATTGGTAACTCTAAATTGTCCCTAGGTGAGTGAGAGAGTGAATGGTTGTTTGTCTCGTTTGTCTCCATGTGTCCCTGTGATGGACTGGAGACCTGTCCAGGGTGTACCCCACCCCTCGCACAATGATTGCCGGACATGGGCACCGGCGACCCCCGCGACCCAAAATGGAATAAGCGGGTAAAGAAAATGGATGGATGGATGGATGGGTAAAAGATAATGGATGGATGGATATATTAGGGATGCATGATATTATCGGCATGGTATCGGTATTGGCCGATATTAGCGTTAAAGTTCAATATTGGACATCGGCCATTACATTAAAATAACTCACCGATATAAAAGACGCTGTTTTTGCCTTTAGTGGCAGTAGAATGTGATGATGTCACACATGCCTACCTGATCTCACGGCGGACAGGAAAATTCAAAATGACCCCATCCCTCGCACAGTGATTGCCGGACATGGGCACCGGCGACCCTCGTGACCCAAAATGGAATAAGCGGGTAAAGAAAATGGATGGATGGATGATACAACTTTTTAAAGTAATAACTAAACCAAAGCAAGCCTTACTGGGTGTTGGTTTTCTTATGTATTTTATTTACCATTTCACTGGATTCCAATATATTATCTAGAGTCCCAACAACAAGGAAAGATTTAATAAATTACTTAGAAACTTCCTTAATCCTCACATCTTTGAACAAATTTAAGCTGTTTCTAGAAAACAGTTGAGCTATTTTTTTTTTACTTAAAATTGTATGAACTCAATCAACAACCATCCACATAAAGCAGAACCTGAACCACAGGAGGAGCACGCTGGATACAAAACGTCTATTTTAAGAACCACCGTTTCTTTGCTGCCAGTTTGGTCTGTTTAAAACGGAGACAAAACATGTCAGCCGCCCAGACGGGCATCAGAGTTTCCCCCAACATCCATCATCCTCTGCCATGAGGTGGAATGTCTCAAACACACACACGGAGAGGGGATTGATGTGTCTCGTGATGAGATTTTGGGCTGTTCTTTTACATCTGTAAAGAACATCTGTACTGATGTACAGACTGTACATCTGTCTGTAGCTGCTGTCGGCTCAAACAAACCAGAGAACTCCACATTTATGAGTGATTCCTTTGCAGGTACAAATTACAAAGTGACTCCCAGAGGAACGCCAGCAGGAAAAACAAAAGCTGGAGGAGGGTTGTGCATGCACATGCATGTCTGATGCTGAAGTACTGTTCATCCTGCTGTGGGTGGGCAGTGGTGCAGCAGTGATTTTTAAAGCTATTTGTCTGCGTATCTGACCCTATAGAGTTTTTTTTTCTTTGTTTTTTGTAAAAGCGTGCGAGAATGTTAAAGGTGATTCTAATTGGTTTTAAATCTCAGGTCTTCATGGGAACGCGCAGGCTTTTGTTGTTTAAGATGGGGATCTTATCTGCAGCAGATGAGTCACTGCTGAATATAAACCTACCTCTTCCTGTCTCCTGGAACGGTGCCGAATTCTGTTCTCATCAAGGTTAAGATGAGTAAAAGGGATTTGTCTGATTTAATAAATACAGACACCTTGTTTTTCTCATTCAAGACATAAGGTGATTTGGTTTGTTTCCTCTCTGGCACATTTGAACAAAGCTAATATAAATAAAAAGAAAGATTTCTATCTGTCCAGGTGCCTCTTCTTCCTCTTCTCCTACACGTTTCAATTACCACCTTCCCGGAGGTCAAAGACTTTAAATTGAGCTCTCGCGCAGCAGTTCCCTGCTGACTCAGCAGCTCAACATTGGCAGAATTGAATTTGCCCCCTAATAATGTTTTGTTAAATATATATTACATTAAGAAAAGCTGACCAGCCAGATGCTGGAGTAAGGAGTTGCAGATTCCCTAAATGAGCAGGCTGAGTTGCAAACTCAAGAGACCTATTTGTCTTTGAGATACTTGCTGAATAATCTAACAACAATAAACACATTTAGGTGCTTAATTTGAGAATAAAAGCTACTTAAAGGAAATGTTTCTTAATTATTATGAACACTGCAAGGGAAGAAGTCCATGAAGTGAAGAGACATAATTTATTTATTATCTCTGGGTTTTCTCTGAGCATCAAAGGTCACATGACGTCAAAGGCACGTTGTCTTATCCCAGGAGCTTCACAGCCGCTGCAAACATGGAGGGATGTGAGAAATGTTATGTAGAAGTTTTTTTTAGGCAAGACCATTCTGCATTTATTCAAAAATATTTATACACAATGTAACTTTTTTCTATTTGTTCACTTTTTGTGCAAAGTTGAACTTTTGTTGTACTAATTTACCACAATCTACAACAGTCTGGCAAATATTTCAGGTTTCCACCAACAAAATAAAAGCTGCAGAGACTTGTGGCCCAAACTATTACTGGTTAAATTTACAAAAATTAGTAATAATAATAATAATAGGCAGCCTGAATAGAACGTTACAAGGAAAAGCCACTACATGGTCAGTTTGCTAATAATGTTGACAAGCATTATGTGGACTAAGAACTTACTCACTCATGGCTGTCGAGCTCAGGACTCAAAGGAGAAACTGAAAGTTTAATTACTGCAGCACAGGACTGAGCCTTAAACACCTGCTATCACCAAAAGATTGTGATGGATGGGTATGCAGGTCAGCAGCACATGCTGTGTGTAGGGGGAAGCAGAGGAGTTCATTAGTCATATAGTTTCTGGCTGCAAAATAGAACAGATGTCCACCTTAAAAGAGAACCTGGAAAGACACAGCAAGGATGGGACTTACCTGCACTGGGCATCGTGCCAGAGAATGGGTGTAGGTACAACTGACAAGTGGATGAGCACAGGACTGAGAAAGTGGTTGACAATGGGTCTTATGTCATCATGTTGGACCTGACCATCCCTACTGATCAAACCATCTCTGCACACCAGCCAGACATTGTGCTCCATGACAAGAACAACAAAATGTGTTACTTGCTTGATGTGTCTATCCCGAATGACAATAACATCCTCAAGAAAGAAGCAGAGAAAATAACAAAGTACAAGGACCTGGAGAGAGAAGTCCAACACGTGGAATACAAAAACTCAAGTTATACCAACTATAACTGGAGCTTTAGGAACAATGAAGAAAGGAGTTCAAGAGCAACTAGATAAACCATCAGAGTCAATGCCAAAGAAATGAGAAGACTGTGCTGCTAGGGACCACTCACATACTTGGACGAGTACTCGGCTGAACCCCAGCTGAGGGCAGAGATTAAACCTGAGGGACCTGGTTGGGCCCTGGTGAATGAACCAGCAATAAATGAAGAAATGCTGAGAATAAAATAAAATAAAATATGCTGCC